AAAATTCTTTTTTTATTTTTCTTGTTGTGTGGAGAGTACAGGGTATTTTACTGTCGGGCTTGCTCGACTGTAGCGTTCTCTCTTGTTTAATTTTATATAAAAAAAAATTATTGAAAAATATTTTTAATTTAAATTCTTTAAGGCATGGGTACAGCATACATACATACGTGTAAGAGCTGCTCAACTCCAGCTTTTCATTTTTGTTTTAATTCGTTTCATCTATTCAATTTAAATACCAGGCTTTTATTCGAGCAAGCAAAAGCTGAGAAGCGTACCATGTACATATGTATGTATGTGTGTGTGTGTGAAGAGTGAGTATTTGAGCAGGCACCTCGGAAATGCCACGCGCGCCAATTTATTTTTAAACAACAACAAAAACAAATACAGTGTCACATTAACAAAACAATGCCAGCGAATAGCCAAACATTGATAGGCACTGCTTGATATCAACAACGGCGACGACAACGGGCCCATCGTCAAAGCGGTGTATTAAAATTAACGTCAATATTTGTGGCTATTTTTAGCCAGACAAAACGCATGAAACGCCGAGAAGGAGAGAGCGAGATAGTAAGCTGAAATGCTTCGACGAGGTGTACATTGTACAGAGAGTGCGCGCTGCTGTAACGAGAACTGCAGCTGAGAGGGAGAGTTAAAACACACTCAGTGGCCAATATTCGTTGCAACAACGCCTACCAGTCGCATGAGTTTCGAGTTTTGAGTGCATCGCATGCAAAAATTGCTCATCGGAGCCTCCTAGACTTTGACCTGAAGGCGTGTGTTGCGATTCATCATCGTGGGCCCTGACAACTCCTTGGTGCGATCGCCGACATATTTTTATCCATACTGATTTTGTTCCAATTTTTTTTACGCAAATCTATCAGACGAATCAAATTTTTATTTTTTTTAAAAACTCGGGTCACAACTTACTAACTTAAGCTTTCAAAAATTCATATTCTTTGTTTAATCGTCAAGGCATGTTATCTAATTTTATTTTTTCCTATTTTTTGAACGGGATTTAATATCATCTTTGTACGCGTCGAAGCTATATTCTTTTTATTGCAACTTTTAACAAAACTAAATCTCCTCCATGGCAATTGGGTCTAAATTTTGCGATGAACCTTTTCCCATTAAGAATACAAATATGTATATTATATACCATACTCTATATGTACCATTTTGTTTGGCACTTAATACCTTTACCCTTCACATACAGGGCTAAAGAGACTAAGTTACTACCACATACTACTTTAAATCTGCTAAGAGCTTTACACATTCTTATTTTTCTGATGAGTCACTCTTGCCTAATAGATAATGACTGGCGCCGCTTAGTCATTATCTATTAGAAAGTTTTATCGTGCTCGTGATTGGATCGAGAAATATGTGCATTGAAAAATCAAATTTCAGCGAAGGTCGAACAGTATTTTACGTTTTATTATCCAGTTCCTACTTCTAAAATGCATGTGACTTTTACCGCTATTATAGCTGTTTAAATACGTGAAGTGGATTTATAGAAATGTGTTATATCCTAAAGTTGTTTAGTAGTTCTGCTGCGTGTTATCACAGCTGTTTGTATTTAAGAAATTGTTGTATGATTTCGGTTGATTTTTGCATTTGCTTTCATGTTTGTGTGGGCCCACTTGTACCCTACAGATAATCCGATAAACAAGAAGAAAACAAAAATTAGCGGCGTCAATATAAGTCTGCATGAATTTTCCTATAAACGCTACTCGTATAATCGGTTTGGTTCTAATTACAAAAACAAAAAACAAAAATTGACAAAAACTTTCGAAAACCAAAATACTAGAAAAATATGAAAACACCGACAAACTGACAATACAAATTGGATCAAGACTTTTGTCTGTTGGCCATGTTTGTGGCGCACCGCTTTTTTGACCTTGTTTTTGAAAATAATTTTAAATATTGAAACACGTACATACATATGAACATACTCGTATATACAGATATACGAGTACATATCTGCGTTTAGCTGCGCAAATTGTTGCTTTTATTGTACCTTCTTGTTTGAATTATCGGGTTAGTTAAAAAGCCTCCAGAGTTTGCCATTGGAAACCTGAGCAACCGACAGGTGTGCACGCCTCATTCTTTTCCTTCATTGCGGTGCTGATTTTCGTCAATCAGCAATGTTTTGACAACCAAATGACTTTGACATAGATTTTGGAATTGAAGTAACTTGGGCACGCGTTGGGTTTCAATTCAAGTGATGGTTATTGTCTCTTTGTTACACACGTCTATATACTCGTACTTACATAAATGTATAATACCTATTTGTTTGGAGGGGCTGCGGGTGCGGCTCTGTTCGTGTGGATTTTGCAAAGCATTTACGGCCAAAATCAATTATATTTCCGGAACGCTACTTGAGTAATCGGCAAATCATTTCGCCGGAAGCTAGTGAAAGGCTTCTGCCTTTAATAATCCATTAAGCTGTTCACTGCTGGCTATTGGAATTTCTTCGTCTTTTTTATGATATACATACGCACATGGATATGAGTAAGATTTAATGTTGATGATATACTCGGAGATATAGTATAAACTTCTGAAGCTTAATTTTTTAATTAGAGGGAAACGATTGTGCTCGATGTTACCAAACATGTATAAATACGTCTCCAATTATGATACAACAAAACTTTATGTCCTATATAATTTTCTAAATTAATTTAAACAAGATAGAACGCTACAGTTGAGCAAGCCCGACAGTAAAATAGCCTGTACTCTCCACAAAAATAAAAATTGGAAAAATTCAAAATTCCAAGAATTGCGGAATTCATAAAGAAAAACACGAATTGGAAGGGGGGGGGGGGGGGTGTATCAGAATAAAAAAATAAACTTGACCTGCCTAGGGCTTAGGGGAACCTCGATACCAAGTTTGGTTATTCTAGCTCTTGTACTTCTTGAGATCGTTGCGCTCATACAGACAGACGGACGGACGGACATGGCTATATCGACTTGTCTTGTCATCCTGATCAATAATATATATACATTGTGGGGTCTGCCACGCCTCCTTCTGTGTGTTACATACATGCGCACAAAACTAGTATAGCATTTCATCCTTTGGGTACAGGCTATACAAATTTAATTAATTATTTTAATTAAATTAAAAATCAGAATACAACAAGAAAGCAATTGTAAAGTCGAGCAGACTCAACTCTTAAATACCCTGTACCATCCAACAACAAAAAATGTACTTAAAAAAATGTAATTAATTTAATTAAATATAAAATATTTTCATCAGAATCGTGTCCACGCGTGTTTGTGTACTTGTACATATATACATACATATGTGTGCATTACATAATTAGGTTAAAGTAGCAACAAATACAGCTGCGGACAGAGCTTGGCCTGATTATATGGGTATAACTTTCTTTCTAATCAACCTATCATAATAAAACGTATATATTTGTTACTGTCGGGCTTGCTCGACTGTAGCGTTCTCTCTTGTTTTTGTATACAAAGAAGCATTTTAAATAATATAACAATATGACATATATGTATATTGTGGTCTGATCTGGTCTACCACGACATTTAATCTGCGCAAACAATTCACAGGTTTAGGGCAATAGCTGTACAACATTCGGACTAGTACTGCGTAGATACACTTAGGGTGGATATTCTTCAGGAGTTTTTAGATTCACTCGATAGTATAATAACTCAAAGCAGCACTATGTCGTCGTTGTATCAATTCAGACCTACTCGAATAATTTTTTTGAGGAATGTAGATCATCGAATTCTCGATTCCATTATTAAATGGCATGAGCTAGTGTCAAATTTATTTTGCTTTTCAGAGCTCAATTGAATCGACCTTAAGGCCATGGCTGTACGGCTTGTCGCCTAATGGGAGGCTGCATTTCCGCCAATTGACTTTAACTATAATTTATTTTTTAAACATTTGCAAGAGAGTCTACGAACGCTCTGACAATAGTTAAAAAGCAGAAGAAGAATATTTTTGAATTATGCGATTATAGGTTTTTTAAAACAACGATATAAGTCTTTATTGAAGAAGAATTTATAGAAATATTGATATGTAATGACAGGTAAGTAATCAACACATTCGAGTCTCACAAAACTCACTGAGTGAAGATCGGGCCTTGAGGCAAATCAACAACAAGAAGCAACATTAAATATATTTATTAAGAGAAAAAGACATCTAGTATATCTTTTAAAACAAGATATAACGCTACAGTCGAGCAAGCCCGACAGTAAAATGTACTCTCCACAAAAAAGAAAAATTAAAAAAAATATATTAAAAAAAAATTAAATTATTAAAAAAAATGGAATTAATTTATTAAATTAATTAAGAAAATGTATTTAATACATACATAGAAGACATGTTTATGTACAGTTTTACATTTACATCACGTGTCTATGTGTATTTATATGCGTGTATGTACATATGCAGCATACAGTTGAACCAAAGCAGCAACAACAACAGATGCGGGCAGCGCTGCAAGCAGAGCATGGGCAGCGATTTTATTTATGGCTATAACTTTCTTCAGAATTGACCTATCATGATGAAACTTGGCATACGGACACATAAGCACTCACTGGACATAACTACTAAAACTGAATTCAAAATTCCAATAAATACGGAAGTTATAAAAAAACACGAATTGCGGCGGAGTGGGGGGTGTATCAGAATAAAAAAATAAAATTGACCTGCCTAGGGCTTAGGGGAACCTGGATACCAAGTTTGGTAATTCTAGCTCTTGTACCTTCTGAGATCCTTGCGCTCATACAGACGGACGCACGGACATGGCTGACATCGACTCAGCTTGTCACCCTGATCAAGAATATATATACTTTGTAGGGTCTGCCACGCCTCCTTCTGTGTGTTACATACATTCGCACAAAATTAGTATAGATTTCACCCTTTGGGTACAGGCTATAAAAACAAATATGCTGTTGAAGTTGTGATGAGAACGCTGGTGTGCATTTTGAGAAACAAATGTAAAAAATGGGTCATATAGTAGTAATAACGAACTCACCTTTCAGTCTCCGATTCTGCATTTGGTTGCTGCTGCAATTGTTGTATCTGTTGCTGTGTACTTGCAGATGTTAGAGCTGCAGTCGCACTTGTTGCTGCTGTCGAAGTCGATTGTTGCTGTTCATCGCTCAAAGATAGCGGAGTAGTCGTATTGTTGGTTGATGCTGCATTTACTGCTGCTGCAACAGCTGCGCCGCTGGTTGCTGGTGCATTCGTTAAGTTAGCATTACTATTATTGGCACTAACACCCGGTAGATTTGCTTTTGGATTTTGTTGTTGCTGCTGCTGGTTTTCATGAACGCTGCTTAGGCTTGTGGCCGAGATAGCAGGCGCGACACTCACATCGGATACCCCACCCATCGTTGAATGTTGCAGCACGGCGGCAACCAGTGTCTGGCCATCGGAAATTGTGGCTGGTGCACTTTGCAATTGCTGGGTCGGTGGCAGCAATTGCTGCTGAGCGGTTGTTGCTGCTGTTGTTGTCACCGAACCGGTGGCTGATGCCCCCGACTGCGCTGGTTCATAGCTGTTCATATGTGCCAACAAGGGCACCGTCTGTCCCTGCTGTTGCGTGCTAGTGGAAGTGATTGAAGTCTGTTGTTGGAATGGCACAATCCCATCTATTTGCGATGTCTGCTGTTGCAGCTTTGGCGTTTGTTCGGCCGCCATCTGATGCGACGCTTGCTGCCCCTCGGTTGGGATGGTAGCCACCACTGCAGCAAAGGTTGGCGCCTGGGTCTGTGGTGTTGGCGATGTTGGCTGCTGCTGTTCTACATACATTTGTTGCTCATTCGTAGTGGTTGCTGTTGTTGGCGTCGGCACAGGTGCTGCCGGTGCCACCGCTGGCAAATTGTTGTTGTTGTTATTGCCAGCAATATCGGCACCATTATGAAAATGGATACGACTGGGTAATGTGGCAGTCTGTGGTGTAGATTGTTGCTGTTGATAGCTAGTACCAGCTGCACCGCCAGCCACGACCTCCTCATTGGCCGCAGCTGCAATGGCCTCTTCCTGTTGCTTGAGCTGCTGCAGCGACTGCTGAAGCTGCTGCGCAGCAGCCGTGGCATAATCTATGGGCAGCGTTTGACCATGTGGGGTTGTGTCTTGCCCAGTGTTTGGTGAAGCGTTGGCGTTAACGCTGTCGCTAAACAGCTGCTGCTGCTCGTTGCTAGCGGCCGGATTCACAAACTGTTGCATGCCGTGAACCACAGTGGCGGGCGCGGTCATTACGCCACTGGGTGTAGCGTTCAATTGTGGCTGCTGAGGCTGTTGCAGGGTGGTTCCAGTGCCTTCTGTGTAGTTCCAATTGGCGTCGCTATTTGCCACGTCATCTATGTAGTTTTTGAGCATGGCTGCCGCAGCATTAGATGTGAGTATCATGCTCTGCGTAGTCTTTGGCGGCGCTACGCCAGCGTCAGCATCCGCGGATGCAACCGCAGACTCGGAAGAAGCAGTCTTTTCGTTATTATTCCCACCACCGTTACCAACGCTTGAATGGTCCAAATAGTCCATGCACATCCACCGGCCTCGTTTGAACGGCTCCGTCGACTCAATTTTGACAACCTTAAAACGTTCACTACGGTGCTGGGTTTCCTTGATGTCGTCTTTTTTCTTAGTGCCGCCGGGAGTTACCGCAGCGCTCACAACATTGATAATGTTGTCGGACACATTAACCTGGACATTCTGAATTGTCTGACCCAGGGACGGACCAATGGGATCCACAACAACAAGTCCGTATTGGGAGCTAGTCGGTATGACTGGCGCCGTTGTACTAAGCGCATTGTTGGCGAAAAATACCTCCTCTTTGGAGAACGTGTCCTCCGACATGGACGGTGTCTCATTTTCTAGATCCGTTATGCGACTGTTATCGTCCGTGTGAGATTCGTCCAGATCATCGGCAGACTCGTCGCCAGTGTCGCCTGCGGTGTTTAATTTAGGATGGCCCACCGTCACGGACGTGATTTGAAATGAAGATGTGGTCTTTGGTTTTCTGTTGCCACCGCCACCGCCACCACCATGGTGCTGCTGCACCTGCTGTTGCGTCTGGTGGCCTTGACTGTGACTGATGTGATGATGCTGGTGAGTTTGGTTATGATGGTGGTGGCGGTGATGAGCCGCAGAGCCGCCCCCCACATTCCGGACTACTGCCGGCCCACCGTTTCCATTGTTGTTAGGCGAAGTAGCCTTTCCGGAGCCGGCACTATGCGTGGTGCTGATGGCGCTCGCAGATGATCCGCTTGAAACTTGACTGCTCGTTGACTTTGGCGCCACGGATGACGTGGAGGAAGCGACTGTGGCAATGCTACTATTGCTGGTAGCTCGTGAAACGTTTGCTGTTGTGGTTGTTAGATTGGTTGTCTCCGTAGAGCTATTACCACCATTACCACTGTTCTTGCTCAATGCGTTGAGACGGAGGCTTTCGCTCGTAGTGCGCTGAATGGAGGCCAGAGCCGCGGCGTTCTGGCAGTTCGAATGGTGGTGCAGATGGGACGAGGTATGGTGGTGGTGATTGGTAATTGACGGAGCGCCTATGCCGCTGTTATTGCTTAGTGAGTTGACCTTTGTCAGTGGTGGCTTCTTGATGTTCGTTGTGCTCACCACGCTCCGTGACGGTGTCTGAATGGAATTGCGACGTGGCGGTGGGGCAGTGGTAGCACCGCTCGCTGCACCACTTGGCTTGAACTTGGCGTTTAGCTGGCGATCAAACATGCTGCTTCGCTGTGGTTGGTGAGGATGGTTTTGTTGCTGTTGCTGCTGCTGAGTGTGTGACTGTCGACGTGTGGGCGCTGTGGCTGATGTGGCAATGCTGTGCGATTCCTGCGAGTTTTCTGGGGATGATGCGACCGAGTTGGGAGATGAGCCGCCTGCCTGACTGCTGTTGGTGACTTGTTGTGTTTGTTGTTGATTTTGTTGCTGTTGCTGACCAGAATCTTCGTTGGCGGCGGTTTGATTCTCGGCCATAATCGGGTTTTTCAGCGTGCGCAAAGTTTTCAGCAGATAATCCAGTGTTGCGGGCAATACTTGGATTATGAGTACAGCAAAGAAAATGTTCTTTAAATTAAAACTAGAATTTATTTAGATTGCGATTTCATGCCATTCGCAATCGACGTACGCGTATGTAGGTTTGTTGAATGGTCAAATTTAGCTAAAGTAACTATTTTAATTAAATTAATAAATATATATTATTGTTGCCGGTTTAGTTTATTTAACTAGTTCTGTTTGCTGTTACCGCTTCGGTTATCACTAACACACACGTCCGTCGGCGATAGCGGCGATGGTGACATTAACTTGCCACATCGACATGTTGTTGCTGTTTGTTGCAGTTGTCTGTGCGACGCTGTTGCCTGTTGCCTTAGCAATTTTGCCAACTTCAAAGGTAAAACGAGCGGCAGCTGCAACGCGGAGACGATGCATAGCGACGTGGCTTCAGGTGCAACTAACTATTAACGCGGGCGCGCGTACACGGAGCGACGCGACCGCGATGACGGTGACAGCGGAGTGAGAACGGATATTTCGTAGTGCGTTTCAGGCTGCGAAAAATTGCTTGCCACACCATCTAACGTCGTAGGCACTCGCGTTACACTTGCTGTTGTTGTTACTGCCCGCCACTGTTGTTGAGCTGATTTTATTATGCTAATAAATCTAAATTTATTTATTGTTCAGCTTGTTTGTGGTTGATGCTGCCTTTGCTGATTTTTTGCAACAGTAATTTGTTTTTCCGCGTTTAAACAACAACAACACTAGCCACAGGCATTTGTACAAGCAGCGCCATCTAACGATTGACTTTGGTCAGCGGGCGTTTTAATTTTCCCTATCATATAGCCACACAAAGCACACCACTTTTATTATTGTTGTAGTTGTTGATCTCACTTTCCACTTAATTTGCTCATATCTCTTTTTTCAACATTTCAACGGTTGGTTGTGAGGTCGCAAATTATTCGACTAATTGAATTAAATTCCACTTTAAAGAACACACATAAATAAAATTTAATAATAATAATATGTATATTGTTGATATTACTGGTGCTGGTAGTTTTGAAAATTATGATTTTAATTTAACTTTTCCTTGAAAGTAAAATACAAATTTATCTTTTCACAGAACTTGTTGCACCATCTAACAATAATTGTTTATTGTTTCGCGTTGATTTGGTTTTAATCGTAGAATTATTCCCTCTGCCAGTTACTTGTAAAGTAGTACGTTGTAGAAGATGAAATTCCTGTGAAGTAAAGGCACAGAAGGCGTAGTTTAGTATAAAAAATTAACTATTAAATTAACTAGTTCATACAAATATTGCAAGTAGAAGTTGCTCTTATACTATTTTCGTACTATTGAATGCGATCATATGCATATACCTATGTATATTGCTTTATAAGTATCAGCAGTAAAACGATGCTCTTTTTGGTCTGTGCTTACTAATCTTTCATTAGTATTTTGTAAATACTTATTTCGCCTTAAGTAGCGAATGAAACAGACAGACGGACATTACTATCTGAAATATTCTCTTCATGCTGATAATAAATATCTGTATAACACGTGGTCTTCATTCTTCCTTATACATACATATGCACATACATAGGTGTTAAAACAATATACCCTTACACTTTTCTGCCAAGGGTATAATGTCAATAAATGAATACCAAGTACAATCTCAAATGAACTCAATTCAAAACCCTTCTGCATCAATGATCTTGATCAATGGGCGACCCCCGCATACATACATACATATTTTAAGTAACATAGTTTTTCGTCGTTTGTCATCTATCTTTATATGCATGAATTCTGTGCAGATGTTCTGTTATAATTGTTGTTGTTTTGTACATATATGTACATATGTTTATATGTATGTGTACGCGCCTGTACGCTAGTAGATTTCATAACTGCGTAGTTCATGATTGCTTATTATGTATTAGGAATGTATGTATGTATGTTTGATGGCTTTGTTTTCTTATTTCGCCTTTTATTTTGTTGTGTGTTTTTATTGATTTTAATATGTACTATCCCATCTGTCTGCCGAACTCTACGCTCAAAAGCCTGCACCGAAGTTTGTTGAATTAGTTAAGTGGTACATTAAACTTGTTCGTTCTTATTGAAAAGCAGTTTCAGTTTCCTTTAAGCCGTAGTGTATGTACATACATATGCATCTACATATGCGCTGTGTTTATCTTGCGCACACAGTTTATATTATAATGTATGTATGTATGTATATGTGTTTGTTTTTGTTCGGACTGCCTCTCTGTTTTTGTATTATTTGGCGTTATTCAATTAATTTCGTTTGAGTAAATTCGCAAATTACGGAAACACAAGCGCAGTTGGGGAAACCGAGAGCGGCGGTCAAATAAAAAACTAAGTTTACGAAAAATAAAATTAAACTCAATAAGTCAATAATATATAAAGACACAGCCATACTCACACAGCGAGGTTTTTGTTAATAGCATACATTTTATTATAAATCATTCATAAATTGCGTGAACTGCTTAGACAAGTACGCACACATAAGTATGTATGTACATATGTATGTTCATACATACACATAGATAAATGCGTATACTCAGAAGTGTGTGAGGCAGGCGCGTGTCGCCAGAAGGCAAAGTCAAGACCTTGGGCTGTATTAGAGTATTTTTAAATACATATAAAACAAAAATCTGTTATAGGTCAACTTTGGTCAGAGCACTCTGAAGGTGGCACAAAGATTGCGAATTTGTTGACCTTCTCCAACAGGTGTTGTTTTTGTTAAGTATGTTGTTGCTGTGATTATTCGTGTTCGTCGATTGGCTTTGGGTCGGACATAGACCCCCGACACGGAAGTGTCTCATTCCAGTCCTTCAGTAAGGATCTGAATATATAACATATGTATGAATGTAGGAAGAACATAATGCATATAAAGCTTATTATGGGTGTAATAGATTGCAACGCGCATTGGTACTATTTACGATGATAGTCAATACAACAATTGCCAGCCTGCCTCAATATCGAGTCGCACGGCACACGCCATAAAGAGAATAAATAACAAGAATACAAGCAGACAAGAAACTGCAACTAATTGCAACGACAAGAGCATTAAATCGATGAAGCAAAAAATTTAATAAAACAAAAACAACTACAACGAATTGAGAGAGGCTGGCAGAGCGAGAGAATGGACGAATGACTAGAACGAAAGAATGCGCGAAAGACAAATTGAAACAATTTTCTATAACGAAAACAACAAAAATAATGCCGTTGTAGAGGAAGAGATCAAATAAAACATATAAGCAGACAGCCTGCCTGACTGCCTCCTTCCTACGCCACAACGTGGGCGCCTACAAGTGGGCGGGTATTGGGTGGCCTCTGTGTACTAAAACAAACAAACCGCGCAGAGAAAAGTGCGAATTGGCAAACCGAGAGCGCCAGCAGCGAGAATGAACCAGAAACCAGAATCAGAGAGAGAGAGAGAGATGGTTCGACTCCTGTTCCCGGAGCACGCAAAAAATCCGAACAAGACGAAGAAGACAGCTGCCGGTAATCAATATTGATGATGATAGCAAGAGCGAGCGCAGCAGCAGTCGAATGCGAGATAAGGACTTAAAGGGAAAAGGTCAATTATGCAGAAACACATATAGAGTGAAATGCAAAACAGATGAAGAAACGAAGAGGCTGTGTGAGTGAGTGGGTACCAGGAGGTCATGACAAAGAATTTATTGCAATTTAATTAAATGAGCAGCAAAAGTTTGGATGCCGCTGTTGAGAAGACGTGCCATGGTCGCCAATAAAAATGACTCACAATGAGCGGCAAGCGGGTGAGCATTCACTGTACATACTATATGTATGCACATACATACATATGTATAATTGTATGTACATATCATGTACATATGCACATACATATGTATATGTATAGCAGGAAGTAGCAGAAGCGACAATGAAGATGCTTTTATCAGCAACACCCAAGCTCTGCAGCACGCAAGCATTGATATTACTATTAACAGGCATGCACAAAAAGTTATGTGATTAAGAATACCAAAACCCCTGTGTAGGTCTTTGCCTCTGACATGCCAGCCAGATAGAACGATTGAGCAACAGTGCTGCAAAATTATCAAATAAGAATAAAAACAACAAACAGTGAAAGCCCTGAAAGTTTTTGACATGAACGTTGCAATTAATATATACATATGTATACACATATATTTGTATGTACATACATACGTTCATAATACCGATTTATTTTCATTTATTTATACTTTTGTTGTTGCCAACAAATTCTTGTGTTCCGGGCCGGGGCTGTCGGTGCCGCCGTGGGAGTCACAGACGTGACAGGCGGCACATTGCTCTGCAAGAAAACAAACAGTGTTTTCCGAATATCTATAGCGACACAAAGTCGCCCCATTTGCAGATTCTACAAAGCTAAAGCTAAACAAAAGCCGGTAGGGACAATCGGCTACGCTTGCAGTTATGTACGATCTACATACATACATACATATGTACGTTTTTTATAATAATTAAAAAACTAATAATCACAAGCACGGAGGAGATCTGATTGTCAAGCTATCGAATTACTAAACAAAAGTGAGGCAGCTGAAACCACGCGGCACGAAGCCAATGTCTAAGGACTGAAAAAATATATACGATATGTTATAGGAAACCACTGGCGGTTTTTACATTGCTATTCTGATTCCAAAATTATGGAAGCACAGATATTATGGATACTATGAAAAACTGGGATTATGAACAACATGCCTGAGATTGAGCCAACAAAGCCCATGTGTCAAAAGAAATTACCCGGTTGATGCAATAAATAGTTTGTTTGCCTTAACAAAAGTACCAACCTATTCTCCAGTCATATGCTAAAACAGTTTATGTTTACAACTATGCAACTGAATGAGTTAACAATATATGTATGTTAACATTAGCAGCTGATTTATTAACACAAATAATGAATAAACGCTTGACAGCTGTTTCTGTAAGCAGACAGTGCGATTTATGTGCAAATTGCAGACCTAAGAATGAAAAAATACTGCATACTATATATTAAACACATGTGCTGGAAGAAGGTACAAAGTACAACCAGCAGTTGTGCAGCACAAGTGAGAAAAACAACAAGAACAGCGAGTGTTTTACAATCATTTGAAGAACAAAAAGGGTGTTGCAAGAATACAACAAACGCAACAGAAATAAAAACAACAACAACAACAGTAGCCAAACAGAACGAGTCGGCTACAAGCCCAACAGCTGCAAGGATGGGCGGCGCACTTAAACACACACAATCACACAAAACAGAAGCACACAGCACTTGCATTTCAGTCTGCACTTTTACGATTGAATAATTTATTAAATTATTGAGTAAGCATCTCCATTTTTGAACGGTTTTTTTGTCAACTATATCCATTGCGCTGAGCACACATCGATTTGTTGCACTGTGCGGTTGCCTGGCGCTAACTGCGCGGCGACAACCATCGATAGCGGATAGTTCTGGTGCTCGATTTTCGTAATTTTCAAGCGTAATTCTCACAAAGCAAAACAACACTTACAAACATGTTTCAACTTGGCACTTGATCTACATAAATTGTAATTTATGTTGCAACTTTTTTCTGTGCTATCATCTTCACTTAATTATGTAGTCAACTAAACGGGAAATTGTTGAAATTATTGAACATCGTTGCGTTTTGCTAATCGGACAAAAGGAAGGTAAATGCCAGTTTTGACAGTTGGTTGGCTCAACGTAAAAAAGAGCGAGCACTTAGCAGCGAGAGCGCGCACTTTAGCAAGTGTGTGTGAGAGAGAGAGCGGCACGAGTGCGAGCGAGCGAGAGCCGTAGCGACTGACAACAGCCGCAAGAGAGAAGTCGTTTAAATAAACGAATTCGTGCATGGCAGATTTGCAAAAAATTTCGCAAAGCATACCAAAAATATATGCGAAAAAAGCTAAGCAGTTTGAAAGCAAACATAGGAAGCCAGTACCAGCCCACAAAAGCAACAATAAAAAGTATTAAGCATTTTGCACAACTCTATGACGCAGTCCGGTGGATTCGTTTCTGC